TGCACTTTAACGATAATCCAAAACCTATGACAGTGACCTTTCAAGAAAACATTCAATCAAACGCTGTGATAACATATAGGTGAAAACACCTAGGAGATAAGAATAACTTACAATCTTTAATTGTTCGTTGCATTTCAGAGCTCGTTAGGTGTATCTGCTTTAACACCTTAGCAACAGATCTCCCGAAAGCTAAGTCTAATAATAAAATCTCTTTTGTTTTACTTTTACTTTTTTTATTATTTTAGGGTTTTTTGGGTGCTTTTTCTTTGGATTCTTTAAAAATGAAAGAAAGCTAGAAATAGAAAACTGTGGGATAGTATGACTTTTGGATGAAGAGGTAAACATGATGATCATTAATATTTTTGATAATAACGAATTGCTGTTAACGAATAATTGTTCGTTATTATTATTGATAATTAATGAGCAGTTACTGTGTAAATCTTGGTTTACACACGTAGATCTTCTTCTTCTTCTTCTTCTCAATACCCCTTTTTTTCTTTTTTTTTTCTTTTGATTTTTATTAAGAATGCTTCTATAAAATATATACAAATCTTTTAAAGAGAGTGTGCTTTGTTCAGGTATTATATTCATATGCGTATTTCTCTTTTTTAATTCATTGGAAAAGCACAAGAAGTACGTGTGCTAAGGTATAACTGTTAATGCATTAAAGCTCTCGCCACTTTCGTAGTGGACAGAGAAAACAGAACTGTCTATGCCTCGAGGTTTTTTTTTTTGGTCCTTTAGTTTTCTTCCAATTTTCTCCCATTGAAATTCAACCCTATATCAAACATTAGAAATAGGGCTTAGTTGGTATTTAAACCAGAATACTGAGAACTCGCTCCTTATTCTTTGAAGGAAAATGAATTTTGTTTTTCGGCCATGTATATCTTAATTATGCTACCTGAATAATGACACTGAGCCAATTGCTTTAAAAATAAAAATATTTAGTCGTTTTTGCGGCATCAAATCTTATTTACAAGTAAATAATTCAAATATTTCACTCAGCTCTTAAGTTCATCACACAAGGATTTCTCAAAAATGTTTTAAAAGCACTAGAGGTATGTGTGCTAAAGTATCGCCGCTAATGCATTAATGCTCTCGCAACTTTGGTAGTGGACAGGGAAAGCAGAACTGTCATGCCTCTAGGGTTTTTCTTGTTTCTTTAGATTAATTTCTTTCTTCCCACCATTGATTGAGGGCTACAGGAAAAAGCAAGGCGATACTGAGCATTCGCTATCTACTCTTGGATGGAAAATAAATTATGTTTTTTGGCTATGTACTCCTGTACTTCAGGAACGTTCGGAGACCACATGTTAGTGAAGCAAGAGAAAAAGAACAAGAGAGCACACCATATGAGCCCATATTCTATATCATCTGC